TTTGGTTGCAGCCGTCATTGTTGTTTGGCAGGTCCGGGCTGGGGATTCGAACCCGCCACCTTAGGTGTACATGGCTGGCGCCTTAGCCGGTTGAGCTACAGGCGCCGAGCCGGAGCCCTGCTTCTTGGACAGTCTGCAGAACCATGAGCCAAGTAGACATCTTTTCTCTGTAAATCACCCAGCTTCAGGTATGCCTTTATAGGGACAAAAAATGGACTAAGATGCCTCCATACATGACCAACAGAGAGAGGCTGTCCACCTGCCAGCCTAGTCAGCCAGCACCTTGCTCATGTGCCCCTGCCTGACCCCATCCCACAACTCACCAGCAACCTCGCGTCGCCGCAAGCTCTCAGTCTCCTCCTGGGTTATGGACATCAACTGTTCCATTCTTATCCTAGGAAAAAAATTCACCCATTCATGCAGCAAATGTTACACTTCCAGTGGGGAATCCCATTAGATGAACACCACCTCCTCCAGGAATACCTTCCTGATGCCCAACCTCAGGAATGCCCACTGCATCCCTTGAGGTTCTGTTAACCGTTAGCCTTGTAATCAGAATATCTTCCATAAAAAGATGTGCATTTCCTTAGAAAAATGGGCAAAGAAGCCAACAGCCAATGGTTACATTCAAATGATCAATAAACATGTGGAAAGATGCTTAACATCACTGGTAACTAAAGAGGTTGGTAATTAACCACTTAATAGGATGGCTGAGATTAAAAAACCTGGAACCAACAGTGATGGTGACAATGGGAGAGAGAGTGAACACTTTCATACACCGCTGAGAAGAGCCAGTTTGGAAAATGGGTTTTGGAAGGCAAGTGGGCGCCTATTAAAATGTCCTTTGAAAATTTCCCTTTTTGCTCGGCGCCTGTGGCTCAAGTGGCTAAGGCGCCAGCCACATACACCTAAGGTGGCGGGTTCGAATCCAGCCCAGGCCTGCCAAACAACAATGACGGCTGCAACCAAAAAAAATAGCCAGGCATTGTGGTGGGTGCCTATGGTCCCAGCACCTTGGG